ATGTTTGATGACAACAGCCTTATGTTTATAAGTGACAGTTTTCCTGCTAAGTACCTGTATGTCATAAGCATTTGAATTAAAATTACCATATTGAAATCAAATCTGATGTTTTTTAATTTTTATTTGGTGTGCGTTGGAAGAGGGGTAGTCTTATACGGCGAGTATATCCCAAACTCTATATTTTAACTGGAAAAGTTGGGGGTCGTCTTATACGCCCAGTCATCTTATACGCCGAAAAATACGGTACATGCCTCTTGAGCCTGTACAAGGCACAGTGAATGGGCTGTCCACCCCCACACAAGGCAGAGCATGTTAAATGAAGTCAATTAACTCTGGGGAAGAACCAGGGATTGAAGGGCTGATTGAAGATGGAGCCCAGCTGAGGAGGAACAGGCAGGGCTGGAATGCCAGGAAGTTGGCAATGTAAAGGGGCTGCAAGGGAACTAGTCTACAGTCATTCCCTGGGAAAGGGGATGTGTGTTTGGGGCTACAGATTTAGGTAGTCTACACTCCCTCCCTGGCAGGAGGGACTTTGGGCTGATAAACCCAGAGATCGGGGAGGCTAGAAGATAAGAGCAGAGAAGTACGAAGGAGTCCAGGGAAAACCGCAACAGGGTCTGGATGCAAGCAGACCTTAGTTGCTGGACATAGGGTCCTTGGACCAGAGCCCACAGTAGTGGGTGGGCTCTGGTTCCCCTACCAGCTATGGGGAAGTGGCATAGACTGGGCAGTGGAGCCGAAGACTGCCTGGGACAGTCGTCCAATGGGACTTTGATACCACAGAAGGGAAAAGTTATAGTGACTTGCGGGGAGGGAAAGGGGGAGCCATCATGTGAGGAAATGGGTGCTGGACCTGAAAGGAGATAATCCTCTAAACACCCAGGAGGAGGTGCCCTAGTGGTGAATGAGCCCTGTGCAGGCACACCTAAGTGTGCTCCTGTCACTGTTGTTTGTGTGATTTATGGGTGTGACAGACTGACAATATCTTGTAATTTGGACAAACCTTATGGAATTAAGATTACTGAATTAAGTTAAGAGTCAACCTTTATTGAATTAGGATTAATACCTTTGGGATACATTGTATGTGGTGTTTATGGCATTGTATGCACCCTCTCTAGTAGGAGGGGGAAACTAACCTATTTCCTTTGTTGTCAGCCCTTTGAAGCCTCACCCTACCCTGCCCCTGAGAGGTGTGCATATACTAGGTCAAATTGGATTCTCCAGGGATTAACAGACAAAGAAATGATTTTTGGATAAATAGCTTGGTTTTAAACTGGCTCAGGGCCTTCTTCCTGATCCAGCAAATGGACAGGACTCCTGGTCCATGAATGGCCCTGATCCTTAGGGTAGGGTTGGAAGGACTGGGCCCACTGTAGGCCCATAAGACTTTGAGCTTGTTATGAGCTGAAGCTGTGATGAATTTCTTACCACAAAGGAAACTCTGTGGATGTGGTCTTGAAGGACTGCTCCTGCCAGAGCCTAAATTAGGATTGGGGAGGGGTTCCCTTTTTGGTAAGATTATTAGTATGCTGTCATAGGTTTCACCCTCACTTTGAATGTTAGGGTACCAATGTGGGGACCTGCATGAGAACCCCTAAACTTAATTACCAGCTTAGATTTGGTTTTGCTGCCACCAAATTATTTGAGTTATTTGGGAAACTCTGTTTACCTCCCCTCCCCCCCCCAGAATATCTTCCTCCCAAGTACTATAACTCTGCCCTAGGTAGCCTTGAGAGACTCCTCCACCAATTTCCTGGTGAACACCGATCCAAACCCTTGGATCTTAAAACAAGGAGGAATTAATCCTTCCCCCTCCTCCCCCCCCCCCAATCCCTGGTGAGTCCAGATCCAATCCCCTTGGATCTTAAAACAAGGAAAAATTAATCAAGTTCTTAAAAAGAAGGCTTTTAATTAAAGAAAAGAAAAGAAAGGTAAAAGGAAAACCTCTGGGAGATAGCATACAAGCTGATCTCACAGACAACAGATTTAAAAACACAGAGGATGTTCCCCTGGGCAAAACCTTAGTTACACAAAGAATACCCAATTTGATTAGCCCTTTTATGCACAAGACAAGTTACAAAAGAAAATAAACATAAACTAATTATTTTACTAATACTCACTATCCTGATAAGAGGCTGATTCCTTGATCTTTTCCACTCTGGCTGAAACTAAAAGTGAGACAAAGGGAACTTCCCTCCTTCCTTTTGAAACATCCTGTTCCCCCATTGGGTCCTCTGGTCAGGTGTCAGCTAGGCTACGTGAACTTCTTAACCCTTAACTATCTGTTTATGACATATGCATATAGGTTCTTTTTTTTTTTTGCAATGTTTGCAATGTTTTCTGTATAATGGTTTTACCTTAAGAATTAAATAGGTTTGCATAAGAAGTCATGTCTGGGTAATATATAACTGTAGAAATTACACCTATTAACTGCCTCTGGTGAGAAAGCAAGCAGGTGAGCTATCTCTGCTGGGTATAACACCTTGAAGGCAGAAAACTGCAGCCTGGAAACACCCCGGAGAGTGATATGTGGATCTGCACCCAAGAAAGGCAATGGTATGAGAGTGGGTGCCCTTCCTCAACCACAGAGAGGAAATACAGATGCAGTTGCCCTGAACTTTGACAACTGCAATCTAGCATAGCACAGTGTGCAAAAAAAAAAGAAAAAAAATTGTCCTAATTTTGTTTATTTTAAAAAGAAGCATTATTCCTTGCAAGTAGAAATTACCAATTGCAGAAATATATTAGTGCCCATAATTTATAAACAATGAACACTATTTTTGTCTGCCTGCCCTGCAATTCCTCTTTCTACTCAAGGTCTAAACTGTGAATGCAAAATTATGATTTGTTTGTATGATTATGATTGTTACAAATGGTATGACTGTCGGATGCAGGCAAGCTTTCCAGTGATGCCAACCCAAATTCAAGCACAGGCTCTGTCTTGATTGTTCAACCCAAAAATGTAATGCAAGATACTGGAGCTGAGTATACAAATAAAATGTGACGTGAGATATATAGTAGTGTAACTGTGACTGCCATGCAGTCCTGACAGAACAACCTCACTGGCTTGCCCTCAGTCTTTGAGGTGCAGCCAAGCAAGAACCTGGACACTCAGTTTAAAAATGGAGCTTTAACAACAAAATAAAAAACATGGTACTACTTATGCTATATGTGAAGTGTTAAATGACTGAATCAAAAGAACTGCTGTTTCTCAGTAGGTAAAATTGGCCCAAGCATTAAAAAAAGGCAAAATATAGAGAGCTTTCCTTTCATGGACAAAATAAATTCTGATATATCATGTATGCTTATTTTGAAACTTAAATGTTCTTCTTTAAAGTACAATGACGCAACAATTTTGGTATGATTTCTCCCACAAGAATGTGGAACTTAATTATATTGTGGTCACAATTATCTAGTGGCTCAACTATAGCTGCCACTTAAACCAATCACAGTGTACTGTATTACTAAGGGTCAAGTATTCTGCCTGTGTGCTCTAGAACTAGCTGGTCCAAGAAGCAATTATTTTAAGGTGTTAACAACTGCTTCTCTAAACTTTGTCCTGAAGTGCTATTTGGCTAGCTTATTCATGGGTAGAAGAAGGCACCTTTTTATTACTCATTTATTTGATCTAGTTACCTTTTTGATCTCCTTCACCATTGTGCATTCAATAGCCTTTTAATTATTAGGAGGCTGGAGGATATCTGTTTGAATGGAGTCAAATTCTAAGTCAGTTTCTACTGTTAATCCAACCTCTACTCAGAAATAGAGCTAGTCAAATTTTTTTCAAAGTTTTGTGAAATCTTTCAATGAAAATTTGATTTCTTTTTATGGATTAAAAAATCCTGAATATTTTCAACTGAAATTTTCATTGAGATCTATTTTGGTTTTTGGCCATATCTACTCAGAAATAATATTAGGTTTTATGGCATCTTTTAGGTAGTGTACTATTCCCCCACCTCTTCAATCTAATTTTGTCTTCCTGTATAATTTAAAAACAGGTATTGTCATATCCCTTTGGATTTTGTCATTCAGAAATCATTTGTTACACTAAAAGCCTGACCAAAGCCCATTGAAGTCAATGGGAGTCTTTCAGTTGATGGTCCTAACAGACCACTATGTTGAGTCAAAATGTATATGCTGCAGAATGTTCTTAGACCATCACTAGATGAGCATAAGGGGAAGAGTGCATACCTTTCTTGTAGCCATGTGTGCACATACATATTTAATATATTTTCTCTCCACAATGTTGCCATACTAGTTAGGGATAAAGTAATAAATCTATCCATTATCTGATTAAAAACAATATCATTCATATGCAATTGTGACAGATGTCAGGCCTATGAATATGTAAATATTCATAAACTAGCTGACAAATTGCACATATGCAAAGAGAAATCTTTATATCTTCAACATATCATTGTGTTTACTGAACATAAGGACAGGAAGTTTCTAATGTGGTTAGGGGGAAAAGCAACACACATTTCCAGATATGTGTGCTTTTGTTTATCAAATACACATCTTAAAAAATGAAGTCTTTTACACATCTCACACCCCCAAAACTTAAAGTTTAGCTAAGGGTAGAAGTATTATAAATCTGAAAATAATTTGTTACAGCAACATTGAAGAAAACTCTGCTTGTTTAGTAAAGGACTGCATTTCTTTTGCAGGTTAATATGTTAACTAGTTCTACCTGTTAATAACTGAATAATTAGCACCCCGAGTTAATCAGTAAATAGACAGACATTTATCATGCATTAATTTGTTTATTAATTAACCATGCCCAGTAATCATTAATTAGTTCTGAATGGTTAAATATGGGGCTAGTCTTCCCCAAGAATTATTCATAGATAATTCTCCCAATAGTTTCTTTAACTTCTCTGCTTTCTACTTAATAACTATTTTTCTAATTAATCATTAATCCCTTTAGATAATCTTCACTAACTAGTTCATGATTAGATATTCTCCCCTAGTTACAGTAATTATGATCTAGTCTCTAATTATTAACTAGGCCTCTTCCCCAGTTAATTTTTAACTAGACCTCACTAGCTAATCATTAATGAGTGACTCCTCCAGCATCTGTGGTCTCTGTCTAATTCCTGTGGAGCAGGTATCCCCATAGGTAAAACTACCTCCGCAACTGTCACTTTTGTTAGAAGTTTTGTTAGACGAGACGCCGATGTTTGAATTGGCCATATAGACTAACTGACCTCTTTCTTTTCATTAAAAACTGTCCCATTGGGCAAGCATTGCTGGGAAACTTTCAGAGCCACAGCTTGTGTCATACCTGTGCTGTGGATAGACTTCAGTCTGCAGGGCTTCAGTTGGGTATTTTATTGAGGAGCTATTTCAGCCATGACTAACTAGGTCCAGAAAGTTGCCAAAGAAGAAAAGTGTTGAATTTCTAAAGAGGAGATGTTTTAATGAAGACCCTTGCCCTCAATGACCCTCTCCCCGCCGAAAAATTTATATATAATATATATATTTGGAAAGGACAAATACTGAATAATTCTCCTCGTGGGCAAAATAAGGTGTGAGAAATGTTGCCCCGATCCATGCTCAAGCCTCCCATTAATATCAATAGGAATTTTGCACAAGTATGGAGAGCACAATGCAGGGTCAAAATCTTCTATGCAGGTTGAGTGGTTTTTTAAATAAAGCTTACTTTACAAAAATCATTATTGTAATTGTGTGACGCCAATGCACCCTTGGTGAGTTGTTGGCAGCAGGGATCAAACCTAGGACCTCCTAAGCTTAATGACACTTGTCACTTAGCCAGGGCTGTTGCAGGTTCATTAATCTCTAGCTCACCTAGCCCCCACTAGAGGGTCACAGAGGACCACACCGAACAGGCATGGTTCACATACTTCCCTGGGTAGGCAGGCAGGCACATCCCAAGCTTCCCCAGCTGAATTCCCCACCACCACTTTTAACGACCCCTTATTGGGTCATTGGCAGCAGTGATCAAACCAGGAACCTCTTGAGCTTAATACTTAAGCCACTGCTGCCTGAGTTAGAAGACAGGTCACTTAAAAGGCTGTAACAGGCTCATCAATCTCTAGCTGGGTTAGCCACTATTAGAAGGGAACAGAGTGCCACACTGAGCATGCATAGGCTACAATTGCTATCAGCCATCATGGTAATAGGGCCAAAACTATAATAATACAAACATCTTGAGGGTGTGCTTGTGTTATGGTCTGCCCTCTTCCTGGGCACACACCTTGTTCAACCAGTATTTCTGGTCACTAGTATGGCCTTTTAGCTCTCTAAGCTTCCTCTTGGCTTACCTGTCCGTAAATATTGGGTGGTCATGGCTGCTTTTCCTAACTCCATTTCAAGGGCCTGGCAGATCTCTTCAAAACCCCATCGGCTGACTACACCTCTGACATCTGGGTTTGAAACACCACTAAAGTTTTAGTTAACCAGAGTAAACCTAACAAAAGCATCCAGGAGACCTTCTGCTTCTTAGAAGGCTTCACTTCCTGGTCACAGTCTTGCTCGCCTGACGCCTTCTGTGCTCCTGCTCCCTCTCCCCTCAGGAGCCAACTGACAACCCTTCAAATTCAAGCACCCAAAGTTCCAAACGTGCAGAACCTATAGTCCAGAAGTCCAAGCCTCTGTGTCTCTGTGCACCTCTCAGCATGTGTTTTTTATGGTCTTCATTCTACACTTTCACTTATCCTATAGCAACATTTCATAAAACAATTCCATATTAACATAGTTCCTTCTTCACAGCATGTGTATATACATGTGCAAAAATCAGTGGTTGGGTAAACAAGGTTTCTCTTTGAACTTCAAGGACCTGAAGAAAGACTCTGCTAAATCCATCATGTTTTGCCTGATTTGGGGTAAAAAAAATCATGTAAAATGGATATTTTTTTTGTTTCCACCCAATTGATCCTGGCTTATGAGAGATTTCTGAACTATTTCATTTTTTTTGTTGCTAAATTTAGCTGAGAATTCTGTTTAAATAAATAAAAAAACCCTAAAACCCTCTTGTACATCTTTAGTGGTTGCACATTCTTAATAGCCATTCAAAAATAAATTTTGTTTAGTTGCTACACAAATATTTTCTTAATAAAAGGTAATTTAGTTGTAAGCTTAGATGTGAGTTGTTAGTATGATTCATACCAACAAAATTTAGTTTCTTTCATGTTTCTGATCCAGGAAAAGTCCAACAGTACAAACAGACTAAATTAAAACCAGTTTCTTAAAGTTGGTTTAAA